TACCCCCACCCCCACCAGCCACCATCACTGAGACCCTTTCAGTAGCCTAGCCCTGCGCAGGGACCATCCTCTCCCCACCAGGGCCCCTGCCCCAGCTTCCTCTTCACTCTCCAAACTCAGGTATGATGTCCACCTAACCTACCACCACAGGGGAGAAAAGGAGTCTCCCCACAATAAAGCTACTCTGACCTGGTCCCACTCAAAGCCCTCCATGGCTCCCTAGTGCCCTTGGCATTCTCAAACATGCACAACTGGCCCCTGATAACCTTGGTAGATCAATAACCTTCCAACTTTAACATCCGAGCCCTCTCTTTCATCCAACTATTGGCCCAAACTACTCCCCTATGTAAACACAAGCCCATCTCCCTTTTAACTGGTTACTATGTAGGCCCCATCCGGGCCTCAGAGTCCCCACAACAGGGAAGCCCTCCCTAAGGTCCCCAGGCTAGAGAGGAAGCTCTGAACTCCCAGTGACCCCTGGATTATCTAGTCTGAGTCATCATCAACTGAGGAAAGTAGGACTGTGTCCCAAACAGGTCTGTGAGTCCTAGGGGCAGGCATGGAGATGTGTCCTCAGTACCATTCAGCATGGAGCCGGGACATTGACTGAGAGCCTAAGGATAGGCCTGGGGATGTGTCCCCAAGATCACTCAATATGGAGCTGGGACAGTGAAAATCTTGGTGAATAGAGTATGAATGAATGAATGAATGAATGATGGGATGGAGGGAGGCAGGCCAGGCTAAGGCCTGTGGCTTCCGTCCTGAGAGTGATGGGGAACCATGAGAAGGTGTGAAGGGAAAGGTGGGAAAAACTCACTGCGGGGAGGAGAGGGGATGGGGTCTCCCAGGGCAGGGCTAGGGCACCTGGTAGCGCCGGATGAGGGCTTCATTCTTCCGCCGAAGGGCCTCAATCCTCTTGTCCAACTCAGCGTCCTTCTCCTCCTTGGATCGGAAATCCAGTGTGGCGGCCTGGGAAGGAGAGGCAGTTGAGGAGGTAGAAAGAAAAACCCACACACCCCAAGGCCATTCTACCCACAATCTGAAGCTCTGTCCCCCAGATATCCCACCCTTGCCAACCCACTTGCCCATTTTCCAGCTCACCATCTTGACAACTGGGGCCAGAGTCACAGTGACCAACCTCCCTCACAGAATATGGAGGCAGCACTGAGGGCAGAGAGAACAGCAGCAAGTTAGGCCAACAGCATCCTGAAACCGCTGCATCCTCTCCTCTATTGAAGGATCCTGGCACACACAGAGAAAGGACACCTGCACACCAAGAGAATTCTCAATACCAGCCTCCCTACTTTCCTGAAGAAATACAGACTCTGCCCTTTGGCTTGAGAGCCACCCATTTCCCAGTTAGTCAGACTTGCATATGGAAAATTCTGATACTACCCCAGTATCTAAGTACTTCCTTGAAGATGTCAGTCAAGACCTAAGACCTAGCCAGGATTCCTAACTCAGAAGAGCTCAGCTACTACCCTTCCTCCAAATCAGCAAAAAATCTTCCAGAAGGCCAGCAAAACAGCTCAGTGGGTAAAAGCTCTTGCCATCAAACTGGCCAACCTGAATTTGATTCTGGGGACCCTACATGGTAGAAGGAGAGAATTCCCACAAGTTGTCCTCTGAGTTCCACACTTGTGCCATGCCCACATACACAAACAAAAGAAATATAAAATATTATTTTAAAAATTAAGCTCAAATTTTAAAAAAATTTAAAAAAAAATCTCAGTGCCTATAACTTCAGTTCCAGGGAATCGAATGCCCTTTTCTGATCCCAAAGACCTCCTGCATACATGTGGTACTTACATATGCAGACAAAACATTCAAACACATTAAAGAGAAAAACAGCAAAGAAAGAATCTCTGAAGCTAAACAGCTCAGCAGTTAACAGCACTTGCTGCTCTTGCAAAGAACCTGAGTTTGGTCCCCAGCACGCACATGGGGTGGCTGACAACCACTTCTAACTCTGGCCCAGGGGAGCCAATGGCCCCTTCTGGCCCACAAGGGCACCCATACACACCTGCACATACACAGACACATAAAAAATAAAATGAGCCAGGCATGGTGGTACACGCCTGTGGTCACAGCACTTGGGAGGCAGAGGCAGGCAGTCATCTCTGTGAGTTCAAGGCCAGCCTGTTCTACATAATGAGTTCCATGCTAGCTGGGGCTACAGGAAGACCCTGTTTCAATAAAAATAAAATAAAATAAAAAATAAAATAAAATGAGGCAGGGCGTGGTGGCGCACACCTTTAATCCCAGCACTCTGGAGGCATAGGCAGGCGGATCTCTGTGAGTTCAAGGCCAGCCTGGTCTACATGGTGAGTTCCAGGACAGCTGGGGCTACAGGGAGACCCTGTCTCAAAAAGACCAAATATATATATATAGATAGATAGATAGATAGATAGATATTTTTTTTAAAGGAAGACGGAAAGAAACTTCTAGAAACACTTCAAGTGCCCATTCTGGTGACTTTCACAACCCAGTGAACATTGTAACTCTTCCAGAAAAGGTTCCCTAACCCCACACTCAAAAATAGTTCCTAGGCAGCGCCTGGCGGTGTACCCCTTTAATCATAGCACACAGGAGGCAGTGGCAGGAGGATCTCCTGTGATTTCAAGGCAGCTTGGTCTACATAATGAGACTTTGTCTCAAAACAAAAAAACAAAACAGCAGTTCCTGGACTGATGAGCTGGTTCGAAGGTAAAGGACCTGAGTTCCATCCCTGGGACCCATGAAAGAACCGGCTCTCGAAAGTTGTCTTCTGACCTCCTAAGCACACACTCGCACAAAATAAGACCTCATCAGGAATAGCTCAGAGAACCTAAGTCCACAGCTCCCCAGAGACTGACGACGCCTGACCCCCAGCACCCTGAAAAAGGTACAACCATCTTCTACCAAACCCGAAAAGATTCTTCAAGCAGGCCCAGGACCCAGTGGGGGTAGGAGGGAGCTTCCTGAACTCGACTTGAGGGCCCCAGTGAATACGCTGCCGGACCGAGAGGACAGAACTTTCTACGGCCGCCATCAACTTGGCAGAGAAAACTGACACCCACCAACGATCAGGGAACGCCACGGCTCCGCCCCTGACCGCAAACTGCTCTGGCCCCGCCCCTGACGAGGGCAAAACTTTCGGCCCCGCCTTTTCCGCCAGACTTCTGGCCCCGCCCACACTCCTCGTAATTAGTCTGGCTCCGCCCTGACAGCCCAGCCGGCCCACTGGCCCCGCTCCACAACTCCCACCAACAACTTGAACCCGCCCCTAATTCTCGCGTTACTACTCAGGCCACCCTCCAACGTGCCCGGCCAAGATTCCGGCCACGCCTTTGAGTCCCGCATCGTGACGTCACAGATAGCCCCGCCCGCCTTTCGCGGGCCCAGGCTCTGGCTCCACTGTGCGCTTCCCAGCCCCAGGAAAAACTTTCTACTTCCAGCCCCAGCATGCCATGCCCCACCAATGACGTGTCAGTCAAGCTCTGGACCCGCCCCTAACTTCCGGACAACTGCGCCGACCCACTTTGAACGAGAAAAACTTTCCGGCCTCGCTCCCAGGATCTCCACTCAACGTCGGAGCCCCTCCCCTAGCTGGCCACGCCCTCCAGAACTCTGGGCCTTCTGGTCACGCCCACAGCGCCTTCCGTCGGCCCGCAGGCCCCACCCCTCAACCCCTCCCACAACACGCTGGCCCCTGCCCTAGTCTCCGCCCAACGACCAGGCCCCGCCCCCTATTATGAAGCCATTTGGCCACGCCCACACCTTCATTAACATCCAGGTCCCACCTCCTTAACGCGGGGCACCACACTATGGCCCCGCCCCGGAGTCACCGCCCAACGTCCTAGCCCCGCCCCTAGCACGCAAGGAAATAGAAGGGC